AAAAAAAAAGAAAAAGAAAAAGAAAAGAAAAGGAAAAAAAAGAAAAAAAGAAAAAATGTATTAAATTTAAGTGTATTTTCCAAAAATTTTTAGGGTGAAATTATAAATACTGAAAATAACTTAAAGTCACTTGATTAATTATGAAAATCAAATTAGGCACACTAATAATCCACAATTTAGCATAATTAAACATGTTTAAGTCTAGAGGGCGTTACAAATGTATTAACAATGTTACAAATATAACGCACCATCTATAAAAACACGAAAGCGAATTAGGGCCGGCCTTAGACCCTTCTTTGTCTCCTTTTTTTTTTTTTTTTTCCGTTTTCTTATTTCTTCATCCAAATAGCTTTCGCCTCACTAGAAAAGAAGATCCTTGTTCCTCTAATGAGGATCTATCTCTCCCATAAGATTTTAATTTTCTTTTTTTTTTCTTTCTTATTTATGAAGTTTAAATGTCTAAGTAGATTTTTACCTAAATCTAGATCTATAATGTTTTTCGTTTATTTGGATCTAGAAATCTGACTTTTTTTTGCTTAATCTTTATGTGATTTATTGTGGCTTCATTCATATGAAACCTATGATGGTCAGATTTGAAAGACTATAAATTGATGACGGTCGATTTTTGAGAAAGATTCATCATCATATCAATCGGAAGATCTAACTCTAACAATGAAGGTTATCTCAAAGAGTATCAAAAGGTAATTCTCATGAGCTATAATTTATATCCTTTGCAGAATTGTGTGCATGTAATATTTGTCTTGTCCCTAGATTGTTTCTTCATGACCTCAATGGTATACAATAATCTGCTTGATTATTTACAATAATAAAACTAGTTGCGTTCAATCTCATTATCTATACTAGATTTGTTAAGTACTTCTTTCTTGTTTGTATAGATGTAATTACATATTGATTAAAAGATTTTACCACAAACCCACATTCGATTTGGGTATTTTTTCTTAATTAAGAAAAATTGAGAGTAAGAGAATTTAAACTTTATATTTTATGGTTGAATCAAGCATGAAATTATTGTTAAATTATATCCGCAATGATTTTTTTAATAATAAATTATATCTGCAATGTTGAGCTGAGCTATTAGACGACCAATTTATTACCATCTCTCTCTTTTTTGTTCAATCAATCCTTGGAGAGCAGTTAACCGGACGATGTTCCACGTCTGCAAAACGGCGTCGTCCCGCCTTTTACAAAAGCATATGCCACGATCCTCGCGGGCCACTGGCCCACTGGGCCGGGCCTCTCCTCCTAATCTCTATCTCAACAAACTAAACGACGCCGTCAGAAGAGAAAGAGCCACACATAAATTTCTCAGTCGTGTGTTGCAGGGAAAATGAATTTTATATATTTAATAAATATTAACCCACAGGGAGAATACATTTTAAATATTAAATAAAATTATTTTCCTTTTTGGGTGCGAAGTAGGAGCATGAGAAATGTATTCTCCCTGTGTGCTTTAATATTTATTTAACATTATTTGAGAATATTTTTTAATATTTAAAATGTATTCTCCCTTAATTAATATATTAAGACTCCGTTCATTTCACTAATTTAAGTTTAAAATTTGAGTTTTATTACAGTAAAAAATTTTAAAAAATAATCACATTTAATATTTTTATTACAATAAAAAGCTCTCACATAAAATCACATCTCAACTCAAATTAAAAATTCGAATCAGCGAACTAAACAGACCCTAAATTCATCTCCTTATGCTTTAATATTTATTTAATATTATTTAAAATGTATTCTCCCTGTGTGTTAATATTTTTTAATAATGTATTCTCCCTGCGCGTTAATATTTATTTAATATATAAAATTCATTCTCCGTGTATTTTAATATTTATCTAATATTTAAAATTTATTCTCCCTGAGTGTTAATATTTATTTTATTTATTTATTTTATTTTGTCTTTTTTTTATATATTACATTTTATTTGTCAAAGCTAGCTCTTTTATTTATTTAGTTTTTACTTTACTTATTTTTTTTGGTCATCTTTTACTTTCCTTATTTATGCTCCAAATTTCTCATGCTTTCTCTGTAAGCTCTCTCTCTCTCTCTCTCTCTATATATGTATTTCGTTTCCTTGGAGAACTCGTCGGAGCTACCGTTTCCGCCGGAGAAAATCGATTTTTCCTTCTCCTCCGGCTAGAGGATCCGATTGAATCTCGCACGAGTTTGTCCTGTTCCGTGTTGTTCCTAGATTATCCGAGATTGTTGTTTTTATTACCTGAATATCGTGAAATTTCTGTCCTTTTTCTCGTTTCTTTTGGAGAATCGGGAATGGAGGATTATTTCAGCGATGATGATTACTATTATTCCGATCGGGACTCGCTGGATGGTCTCGAGAACGAGGACTCTGGTCCACAGTGGGCCTCTAAGGGTCCCACGAGTAAGGTGAAAATTTTTACTTGTTATGAAGGAATCGAAATTGTGATATTTTTTTCCTGGAAAGTTTTAATTTTTTATCGTTAATTGTGGAATTTTGGTTCGGTTTGTGTGATATTCTGGGTGTTTTTGTTCTGTTTGGCTCATGAATATTGGGGGTTTATGACTGTTTGGCTCATGAATTTATTTTCTCCCTGCGAATGTAAATGGATTTTCTTTCTTGAAACAAGAAATTGATGGTAAAAGCAAAGGGATTTTCTTGTTTGGCTCATAATGGAAATTGATATTGTGTTAAATGTATATGGTCTAGGTTGTTGTGTTTGTGTAAACTCTTTGAGTTTTCCGTTTGATTCTTATTTAATTTAATGGATATAGAGATAAAGTACAAATTTACTTCATCAGAGAAGTTTCTCTCTAAAGAATTTTCATGTGATTTATATTCCCCTCCATAGTTTTAGTTAGAAAATTGACCTAGTTTCTCTAAACCTTCTGTCTTTTCTTTGCAGGTTATTACAAAAGAATCTCTTTTGGCTGCACAGGTAAAAGCAAAATCTCCATTGGCTTATTTATTTATTTATTTGTTTTGTTTTGGGTTTTATTATTATTATTATTATTTTTTATTTTTACAACGATTGGTGAGGTTGGAAAAAGAGGGTTGATTTTTGATATGTATGTGCAGAGGGAGGATTTGCGTAGAGTAATGGAATTGCTATCTATAAGAGTGCACCATGCTCGAACATTACTTATTCATTATCGCTGGGATGTGGAGAAGTTGTTTGCAGTGTTTGTAGAGAAGGGAAAAGCTTCCCTTTTCGCGGAAGCGGGTGTCTCGATTGTTGAGCATCAAGATCTTGACGTCCGACCACCTCAGACAGTGATGTGTGATATATGTATAGAGGATTTACCTAGTGGTGAGACGACAAAGATGGACTGCGGTCATTGTTTTTGCAACAACTGTAAGTGGTCATGTTTGATGGGATTTTGCTTTTACGAGTATTATTTCAAATAGCCGCCCAGTTTTTAGTGTAATCCAAATAATAATCTTGGTTGAATGTTCAGGTCTGTGGTTGGCTCCCACATGGTCTGAAGTTCAATTCCTCAGTTAAGAACTTGAGCCCACTAAGTGGGTTTGGGTAATTTTGGTCTATCAAAAGGAGGGGGAAAAACAAAAAGAGAAAAACACTCTGGATTTTGATTCATGGATTTAAGAACTTTTCTGTTTATAGTTTTCTCCATATCTTTCATCTCATATAGCTATCATGTATCATTAGTTTTCATTTTTCTTTATCTTTATCTCTTTTTTTTCCCTGTTTTTTTAGGTTGGACTGAGCATTTTATTGTTAAGATAAACGATGGTCAAAGTAAAAGAATAAAGTGCATGGCACACAAATGCAACGCAATATGTGATGAATCAGTTGTTAGAAATCTCGTTAGCAAAACAAATCCGGATCTGGCAGAGAAATTTGATCGTTTTCTTCTTGAGTCATATATTGAAGATAATAAAAGGGTTAAATGGTGCCCGAGTACTCCTCATTGTGGAAATGCAATACGCGTCGAGGATGATCAGTTTTGCGAGGTAGAATGTTCATGTGGTGTGCAATTTTGCTTTGGTTGCTCATTAGAAGCCCACTCGCCCTGCTCATGTTTAATGTGGGAGCTTTGGGTTAAAAAGTGCCGAGATGAATCGGAGACTGTTAATTGGATCACAGTCCACACAAAGCCTTGTCCCAAGTGTCACAAACCTGTAGAAAAGAATGGTGGGTGTAACCTTGTTAGCTGTATCTGTGGGCAAGCATTTTGGTAAGAGTTCTTAGCTCTACTCTGTTATCTTTACTCTTTTGTACCTTGATTTTATACAGGGATATTTGTGATGCATATTGCTCCTATTACTGTATCTTTGTAGTCACGAACTTTACTATCAGGAAAAACTTTATGCAACCGTACCCATGCAGTTCTCAAAAAGATTTCTGATAATTGAAACTCAAATGTGAGAAATACTTGGTATTTTGAAATAATATCTGGCATTCAGTTTGATATTTTGCTAACTAATAAATCATAACTGTAGCAGATCTAAACTTTATCAAAGAATATTAGTGACAAAATTTGGTTAAATATAGTGTGTAAATCATGTTTTGTTTTTATTAGAGTTGGAAGGGAGAGGTTGAGATTGTTTCTGTAAATTTTCTAGAAAGAAACTTTTTTCTATTATTCGGGAATAATAAAAAAATAATACAGAATAAATAGGTTAAGGAAGAAACCTTATCTTCCTAAAAGAAACTATCCTAACTAAAGATAAACTCTAACCCTAGAAACCTTATCTCTAATGATAAACCCTTTATTCTCTGTTTTATTTAAATTCAAATACAAAACCCATCTAACCGACACTCCCCCTCAAGTTGGTGCAAAGATATCTATCATGCCCAACTTGCTAACTAGAAACTCAAACTTCTGCCTTAGGAGACCCTTTGTTAGAATATTTGCAACTTGCTGTGTGGTTGGAACCAATGGCGTGCATATGACTCCTTCAAGTTTCTCCTTTATAAAGTGTCTATCCACCTCAATGTGTTTTGTTCTGTCATGTTGAACAGGAGTGTGCGCGATACTGATTGCAACCTTGTTGTCACAATATAGTTTCATAGGACTATCGTGTGATCTTCTAAGCTCCTTGAGAACTCTCAGTAGCCATAGTACCTCACATATCCCTAGTGCCATTGATCTATACTCGGCCTCGGCACTACTTCTAGCTACTATACTCTGCTTTTTGCTCCTCCACGTGACTAAATTTCCCCATAAGAATGTGCAATATCCAGAGGTTGATCTTCTATCCACTATTGATCTTGCCCAGTCAGCATACGTATAGACTTAAATTCCCCTGTGCTCACTTTTCCTGAAAGACAATCCTTTTCCAGGAGTTCTCTTTAAATATCTCAAGATCTGGTAAACCGCTTCAAGGTGTTCTTCGTACGGGGCGTGCATGAACTGGCTAACCACACTTACTGTGAATGCGATATCAGGTCTTGTATGAGACAGGTAAATTAACTTGCCAACTAGTCTCTAGTATTGGTTTGTATCAACCTGGACCTTTTTCTCTCCTTCACCAAGTTTTACATTGAACTCCATAGGGGTGTCAGCCGGTCTACATCCACTCAACCCTGTTTCTTCTAAAAGATCAAGGATATATTTGCGTTGTGAGATGACAATCCCTTTCTTGGATCGAGCAAATTCCATACTAAGAAAGTATCGTAATGGTCCCAAATCCTTAATCTCAAATTCAGTAGCCAAGCACTACTTTAATTTACTCATTTCTTCGAAGTCATCTCCTGTAAGGATAATATCATCCATGTAGACAATTAAGACAGCGATCTTCCCTTCAGAGGATATCTTCATGAAGAGTATGGTCTGCTTGTGCTTGAGTAAAGCCTTGGCCTTTTACAAACTTTGCAAATCGTTCAAACCAAGCTCTAGGAGACTACTTGAGCCCATATAGACCCTTGAACCAAACCTCTCGGAAAAACTTGGTGGAGCATCCATATACCCCTCTTCTGCTAATTCTCCATTGAGGAAGGCATTTTTTACGTTTTGCTGGTGTAGAGGCCAATCAAGATTCACGACAATGGACATGAGAACCCTAACTGTGTTCAGTTTTGCTACTGGAGAGAAGGTTTCGGAGTAGTCAATACCGTATGTTTGTGTAAATCCCTTTGCTACCAAGCGAGCTTTATATCTTTCCAATGAGCCATCTGAGTTGTACTTCACGGTAAACACCCATTTGCAGCCAACGGTTGTTTTCCCGCGTGGAAAGTCTACTTCGTCCCATGTTTCATTTTTCTCAAGAGCCCTCATCTCTTCATAAACTGCTTCCTTCCACTCGGGAACAACTAGAGCCTCCTGTACATTTTTTGGAATAGCTACACTGGAGAGTTGCATGGAAGGAGGGTGACACTTTTTCATACGACACAAAATTGGACAATGGATGTTTGGTGCAAGATCTAATACCTTTTCTGAGAGCAATAGGAATTGAAGAGTTTGGTTCAGAATTACCTGGGACTTTATCTAACATGGGATCTAATCCACAGTTGGACTCTTGGCAGTGCTGCAAGCTAGATTTCTCTGTTCCTTGTTGATGATTTCTTCTTGAGAAGACCAGCCCTTTGTACCGTTTCGCACACATCTCTGATTTTCCACGATTATGATCATGTGATGGCATTAAGGAAGGCCGTCCATGATTTTCAGTATCCAATACATTTGTTTCATTTGAATTTTCATTCAAAACTATACCTACATCATTTATTTCCTCATCTATTTCGGGGGTAAGTTCAAACACGGCTGGAACCGTTTCAATTTTTTTAAAAGCATCAATATTGCCATGGTTTTTTGCAGTGATCACACCATGACTTCTGTCTTCCATTCTTCTTCTCGCCCTCTGGATCATAGCCTTTTGTAGCCAGTGCAGAACTTTCAGCATCAAGGCTTGGTCGAGTGTCTCCTGCTGGTTTCATCATGACATGTCTACGAGCTTCTTCTCTACGGACTTCGGAGAAAACCTCTCTGATTGAGGGGAGAAGTGTTCGACTCAAAATTCGAACTCAGATTTCATCTAATTCTTTCCTAAAACCTGCAAGAAATACAAACACACGGTTTCTTTCAATTTTTTTCATGTATCGAACACTATCACTTGGACTCTCCCATTCTTCTTCTTGGAGTAGATCAAGTTCCTGCCATAGTGTCATCATCTCGTTATAATACACAGTCACTTCTCGATCTCCTTGCCGGGATCTCCACATCTTGGCATTTAATTCAAACATCTGGGAATAATTTTCCAGATCAGAGTATGTATCCCGCATTGCTTCCCAAACATCTCGGGTAGTAGGGAGAAACATGAAGGGTTTCCCAATCATCGGCTCAATAGAATTAATCAACCAGGCAATTACCATTGAGTTCTCTGATTTCCAGCTCCTCTGCTTTGCACATCAGTAGGCTGTTTTATTTCTCCGGTCAGGTAACCAAGCTTTCCTTTACCATCGATCACAAGTTTGACAGATTGTGACCATTCTAGATAATTTTTTCCATTTAGTTTATGAATGGTTATTTGAAGGGGAATGATCGGGCAGAAACATAGGAGACTAATGAACAACCTCATCGGCAACCTTTGAGGAACTTGTGCCTTTAGTGTTACCAACCATGGCTGTTTTTGCCATGGCTCTGATACCATGTAAATTTTCTAGAGAGAAACTTTTTTCTATTATTCGGGAATAGTAAAAAAATAATACATAATAAATAGGTTAAGGAAGAAACCTTATCTTTCTAAAAGAAACTATCCTAACTAAAGATAAACTCTAACCCTAGAAACCTTATCTCTAATGATAAACCCTTTATCCTTTGTTTTATTTAAATTCAAATACAAAACCCTTATCTAACTGACCGTTTCCATACTCTCCTATATACCCTCTTTGCATGTTTCATTGGCACAATTTGGATCTTTTTAAACTTATACAACTGAGAGTTCGGCGAGAGTCTGTTGACCCTCTTATTAAAGTTATCATTTGATTAGTTTTCAACATGGTCTATTAGAACCCTTTTCTTTGCTTCACCGTGTAGATTTCAGGCTTAGCTAGTTGTTGTTTTCCGCACACATTGTTTTCTGTACTTGGAGTCCAGTCTTAAGTGTGATCTACTATTAGTAGAAAATCTTCTTTTTCAAAGATCTTCATTATATTTGGCTATATACTTGTCTGCACACGTGAGTAGACTTTTACATTCAACAAAGAACTCGATTTAGTTTCCACATTTGGATTTTCTTGTCATCAATCTCTTTCTCATGTGGATGTTGAAATTGATATATGCTTTTTCTTGAGGCAGTTGGCTGTGCGGTGGAGCCACTGGGCGAGACCATACTTGGTCAAGTATTGCGGGGCATAGCTGTGGTCGCTACAAGGCAGACCAAGAGAAAAAGGCTGAGAGGGCAAAGCGAGATCTTTATCGATATATGCACTATCACAATCGGTACAAAGCTCATACAGATTCCTTTAAACTTGAAAGTAAATTGAAGGGGACTATACAGGACAAGGTGTCAGTTTTGGAAGAGAGGGAATCAAAGCTCAGAGATTTCAGTTGGGTACACAATGGACTCAACAGACTTTTTAGATCGAGGCGGGTTCTTTCATACTCATACCCATTTGCATTTTATATGTTTGGAGATGAACTTTTTAAGGATGAAATGACAAATGAAGAAAGGGAAATAAAGCAGAATTTATTTGAGGACCAACAACAGCAGCTTGAGGCAAATGTTGAGAAATTATCCAAGTTCTTAGAGGCCCCATTCGATGAGTACAGTGAGGATAAGGTTATGGAGACAAGGATGCAAGTGATTAATCTGACAGGAATCACTGATAACCTCTGTCAGAAGATGTAAGTCCTGCTGTGAAAATAACGATCTTAAAATTCATGCTTTTGTAAATATACTCTTAAACTCATGTTTTTCTAAATTGCTCGCAGGTATGACTGTATTGAGAATGATTTATTGGGTCCTTTACAACTAGGTATCCACAATATTGCTCCATATAGGTCAAAGGGCATCGAGAAGGCATCAGAACTTTCTGCTTGTTGGGGCAATAAAGTCGATGGTTCTAATAAAGCTCTGCCACCACATTGTGGCTCAAGTGGTATTAATTTTTCCCCTTGCCACTCGATTTATCTCTCAATATATCTATAGAGGGAAGAATTATACTAAAGGCACCTAGTTAACCAAATTTCTAGTACCACATGTTGTGGCAATTGATTTAATGCATATTTTGTTCAACCAATTAGGAACTAACTGATCTACGTCTTTGATTCTCAAATGTGTGTGTGTGTATATATATATATATATTTATATTATGAACTGAGTGTATTGCCATATCTCTTTATATACAAACCTGGTAAACAGGTTGGCATACCTAACATTACTCAATAAAGTAGGAAAGCATTACTTTCGCGTGATAAAGGACCAAAAGTTATAATGTTGCATAAGGGTGGCAATTCGTGTTAGTGAGTCGTGTTCGTGTCAACCCGTTTATTAATTGTGTCAGAAAACATCAACTCAAACTCGACCTGTTTATTAAACGTGTTAAAAATGTTAACTCAAACACGACCCATTTATTAATCGTGTTAATCGTGTTAATCGTGTCAACCTGTATAACCCTTTTAAATTAATATATTGAATAAATAACTAATATAATAATGACTTATTCAACACGGTCAAGACAAATTTAACATGTTTATTAGTCAATTTATTTTTTTCTTTAAAAAAAATAAATGAATTTTACCTACAAATATTAAAATTCACATTATTTGTATTTAATATGTTATATAAACTTTTATGTTATATCACATATCATTAGATTACATATGACACATATAGTTAATCGTGTCAATTCGTGTCACTTTGTGTTAGGAGGTCAACCTTAACCTAACCTATTTATTAATCGTGTTAATCGTGTCAATCTGATTATGACCTAAACCCATTTATAGTAAACCTAAACCCGTTAACTTCGTGTGGGTTTTGACTCGTGTCGTTGTGTCGCTACTCAGATTGCCAGCCGTAATGTTGCATGTGCGCTAAAGATCTATATAGATGGAGAAGCGACGTATACTAGAAACCTTGTTATGCGGTCTCCAATTTTTCTCCATGAGTAGATATGATTTCTTTCCTTTTTTTTTTGTTTGTTTGTTAATGGCATGATTTTTTTTAGTAGTTATAAAAGGGATTTCTAGAAGATTACATCTTGAAGATTACTAAGGTTTCATCTAAAAAAAGGAGAGAGATTACTGAGGTTGACATTTATATGTTTAGCTGACACACTTATAATATAGGAGGAACGACGGAATCTGATCAACCCTCTGGTTCTGGAAGTTCTGATGAGAGCACATTTTCTCCTCGGAAGCGTGCTCGGACAAAGGTTCCTGGGGGTGGCTTTTTTGACTTAAATTTACCGGCAGCAGACGTTGCTGACAGAACTTAACTCTGAAGATAGTTGGCTTCAAATAGACACAGGTGTACAGTCTCTAGTCTAAGACAATCTCCCTTTTGGTATGGTGGGTGTCATCAATTGTGGATTAAAATAACGAGTGCTTCCCCCTCGTATTTTTCCACCATCTTTATCTTGCGTTAAAATATTTTAGAAGACATCTGGGGTTCCTTGTTTCTTGATCTTTTGTGTTATCTCAGTTTGTACATACTACATAGTCCTTGGTTTGGGCTTTAGAGACATTAAATATGGAATTTTACATGAAATTTAATTAACCTTTAAATAATATTTTGAGATATATCCATTATTTTGGAGGCTAGAAGTAAATTTGACTTTTTGTTTTGGCTGTTTCTGCTCGGCTTTATGCTTTCTTTTCCTGGTAAGTTGGTTTTTGCTCCTTTCTTTTATTCAGTGCCAAACATTAAAACTAATTTGGCTTCATGCATGAAGTACAACACGGAAGCACATTTCTTTTGAGATTTTGTTGCCTTGCAACACTTAAAACATTTACTTAACTTTGGAGATATTGAATCAACATTTTTACAGTGCTTCAGCGGGGTTTGACCTTTATTTGGTATACTTAAACTCATGTCGTACAGCCGCAGCGAAGTAGAAATTCTCGTAGATAAGATAAAAGTTTTCATTCTGTACATGCCAGATCATGAATTAGTAAAATAGGTTCTTGTCTCTTTGAATCGCATTATCGATGGCGAATATTTTCGTATTTTGAATAAATCGTATAGTGAGTGGATCATGGCTGCGTTTAGAACACAATTCAACCTTTATGCTGCAGTATTTTTTCATAAAAATATTAATTTTAGCTTAAATTTTCTATTCAAATCTATGATAAGAACACCACAGAACCTTACCCCCGTTGGTGTTTGATAACGTGAATATGGCTTATTATTTTCTGACCAGTGTTTTCTCATCTTATTGATGTCGGATAGGAATGACAATATTTTCCATAGAAATGGGGCTCCACCCTGAATGGGGTGGGGATGGGAGATGATTATCGGAGATGGGGATAAAATCTAATCCCCAAGTAGCACTCCCCGGCACGTCTCTGCTTTCCCGATATACAATAATGTATTTTTTTAATGTAAATATATACATACATATAATTTTTTAAAATTATTTTTTACTTAAAAAAAGGAAAAAAAATAGCTATGTTATTTTTTTTAATTACTCTACTATTAAAATTTAGTTTGCATATGTTTAGAAATTGGTTTGTATTATGCAACCTATAATTTTAGTATAAATTTATAATGAATTTTTACTCTTTTTATTTTAAGTTGCAATAATTTTTAAATGCATAGTATGGCGGGTATGAGGATGATTGGAGAATTCTCAATTCCGGCCCCACCTCTCCTTAAGCAAGGATGGGGGCGGGAATAGGGATAGAGTAGGGCCCCGTTGCCATCCATTGTCGGATCTGGTACAAGTTTTTTGCCACTACAGTTAACATGACCTTATGGTGATAATGTGTGTCAACTTAAGGATCAAATCCTAAGAGAACAGAAATAACATGTTTAGTTTTACCTTCTTTTTTTGTTTTTGTTTTTGGGCTGAAAATAATATGGTAGTGGCACTGTTTGAATGAAGAGACATGGTCACTTGTATCATGTCCATTTTGCCCTGAAAGAAATTTTCACAAATACAATGAGGATTTGGTAGTATTCTACTTGTCTGTTTCTTTTAGTGCATCTGTAGATATTCATGGTGGCTGCTTCAACTTATATGTGCATGAATGAATTTTTAATCTCCAATGCAGTCATTATCTCATTACTGCTCAAGATGAAGTGCTTCTAATGTCGGTCAGGATTGGATCTTTCATAGATTTTTGCCCCCTTTAACATTATTTTTGCTTATACTTTCAGTCTATGAAACAAGAAAAGTAACAATTTCACCTTCGTGAGTATTTAGAACTTGTTTTTAAGGAGCTTAATGAGACGAACAATATTTAATTTTTTTAAGAAGTAATTAAGTGGAGAGTAAAGTTTATAAAATCTTATTAAAACTTGGGTAGAATTTTAGAAGTAAAGTCTTCTTAGCAGAGGTTGTTATTGTTGTTGTTGTTGTTGTTGTTATTGTTGTCGTCCAATAGCTTTTAAATCCAGAAAGTCGAAAGCAGTTCAATTGAAACGGTGGCGGCAAGGAGGTGGTGAAAAAAAATGTCGAGACCTTGGTGGGTCTCGACTGTGGTGAGAGTTCAACCTTTCAACCAACTACTCTCTCTTCTTCTTCTTCTTCAACGACTCTCTCTTCTTCTTCTTTTATTTTTTAATTTATTTATGATAGTAAAGTTTGAACTAGTCTTGTTTAGTGTAAAGGCATAGAGCGCGGTGTGTTTGAGACTCCTTAGGCGAACAAAATAAGGGCTTATTGTATAAGGATTTGAATCTATGATTTTAATTATGTTATAATATTTTTTCTTTAAAAAAAATTAAATTTAAAAAGTTCGTGCCAATGAGTTTTCTCATAAAATTTAAATGCATAATCAAAATTACTAGTTTAAATTAAACGAGTCTTAAATGTTGCACAAAAAATAATCCTACGAATCCTCATTTTCAACTTAAATAGTTAATCTGGTTTTTCATGTGAATCTGGTTTTTCACGTGACAAGGTCAAAGTCAAGATTTTTGCGTGAGATTATCAAATTGCTAATTTCGACCTCAATGGTTAAAAGTTGGTTTTCGCTGTCGTTTTTTGGTTCCTATTTTTTTCCCCCCTTTACGTGACAAAATATATAAATAACACTAAGAGGTCAAAATTTGACAACAATGCGACCTTTTACAATCATTTTAGGACCAGTGAATTTGCATGTTCAAATGGCAATTATTGAGTGGGAGTGCTAATGTTAAAATAAGATTCAATTAAAAGTAATATACATATATAGTCTTGTCTCTAAATAACAGGCAAGATTAGAAAAAGAAGAGCTTGCTCAGAAGTGGAAAAAGCCTTCCTTTTTTTTTTTTTTTTGGGTATCATTGGCATTGGCTAACCTTCTCTAATCCCTTTGGAACTTCAACTTTCATGTGTTCCTCTTCTAGGTTTTGATGCCTTAAAGAGCCTCACTCTTTCTTTTTTTTTTTTTTTTTTTTTTTTTTTTTTTTTTTTTTTTTTTCCTGATCTCCTCACTCGTCAGAAATATTATTAAATCTCAATGTAAAGATTCTGTTTCCTTCCTTAAGAGAAGCTTCACTGGCTTTGATCTTCGCAAAGTAACATTTTTTTTTAAGTAATGCCATTGTAAATGTAACAAGATGTAGGATACAAGACTATCATATTATTATTCTATTATATGAAAAAATATGATAATTTAACAAAGCCTGAGAAAAACTAGATGGTTTAGATCACTATTCTAAATATCAATTAAATCGTGAATTTATTAAATTTGATTATGAGATAAATTATGATTTACCCAACAAATCTCGAATTTACTACTATTTACTAATTTTTCAATAATTTTTGTTATTTATTTTTATTCCACTAAAAAATATGTTATTTACCTATTTCTCCCTATTTTTTTTATACCACTTACCACATAACCATTCTTACTCTATATCCTAGCAAGAAAATAAAACCTACACACAATATTGTAATAGTCTTATATATATATATACATATATATATATATATATACACACACACACACTAGCTTTAGTTCTTTGCTTTCCAGGGAAAAAAAAATCTTTGAAGTAATTTCCTTTTTTTTTTTGTTTTGTTTTTGTGGGGGGCTAATGAAGGGGAGGTATTTTCTTCTTCATATATGTATTATACCTAGGTAAGTTGTTTGACCTTTAACTAATTTTATATAAGTTACCGAAAATTGAGCTATCTTGATTTATCCAAATTAATTAAGTTCACAATGATAGAGACAAAAGCATCTTTCTAAACGTTACCTTTTTATTGCAGTTAGGCCTTGCACTAATTCTAATGGCTTCGGGGTCAGCAGAAATTTCATTATTAAATTAACAGCATAATTAATCAATAAACAACACTCAAAGAATACAAATAAATAAATAAATAAATGAACAACAACCGAAGTTTTTTTTAAAATAATCAAAGTATGTCTGTCAGCCTCTTTGGAGAAATGGTACTCAACTAGCTCGAGATTGGAAATGTTTGTTTTCCTTTGCATTTACCGATTTTGCATGGACATCGATTTATGAAAGATTGTCAACATTATTGTGACTTCTAATTTGTTTGGATCTTAATTAGATCATTTAATATATTTGGAGTGTCTTGTTCAAGTTGACCATCTATACGCATGCCAAATTAGAAACGTCTTGAAGTACTACATTATGTCGTTTTGTATTAAGTTTAACGACTCTTAATATAATACTGATTAAGTGGATTTTGTTTAGATGAAATGAAAGGATAGAAAGAGGGATTATCTTTATTGGTTCTACATAAAACGGTTGAAGAGAATACTGTGGTAAAGTATTTTTTTTTTTTTTTATAGAAAAATCTTATCATTAAGACATTGTTTTAAACTGTGAGATCTGCACCTCAAAATAATATCAGATCAAAAAATATATAGGATAATTTTGTGGAATTTGTTGAACACCTAATATTGCTTACTGCCTTACAAACAATTCTACCATTTATAGAATGTTACAATTTTTATAACTTTTAGATTGATAAAAGTAATAACAGTCCATAATTTGCCCTAACTAGTTAGAGAAAGCAAAAATAGCTAGGTAGCTAGAGGAAAGATTGTGCAGAAATTCATCAAATAATAAGTATTTTTCATTCAGCAAAAAATAAGTATGTCATTAATCATTACTCATTAGTAAGAAAAAAGTATTATTTTTATTTTTATTTTTTCAGTAATAGTACAAAACATTGATATATACATCGAATAAACTACTATACGGCGCCACCAAAAACATCTAGTAAATGTAGGAGAAAAAATGTCATAAGTCCCACAGTGCTCTTGGTTTTACATCACATACACCAAAAAAAAAAAAAAAAAAAAAAAAAAAAAAAAAACAGTACTCTTGGTTTTACCAAAATCTTAAATGCGCGAGACTTCTGTCTAGGAGATGGAATTACCATCAATTGGTCTCAATTTTTAATATTTCTTTAGTAACATTTCTTCATCTCACTTTCAACATATTTCCAACTATATGCATAAAAATTTCTACAACAAAGTGCGTTTTCCAAACAATTTGTTAGTTTCATTTCTCCATAAAGGAAAAAAATATTTGCTATAAAGCTAGACTGGTTCCAAGATTAGGAGAACATTAAGTTGCAAACTTGACAATGACCAATAAGAGTTAAGTCCTTGAATATATTTAAAATTCACTGTTTTTTTACAAAACCTGTTAAGATTAGAGAAATGGGACAAACTCAGAGTTCAGTAAATTGTTGAAAGCCAATGAAAACGTAATAATGACTAAATAAATAAGAGAAACATTAAATTATTGTCGTGATGGTCTATTTTCTATACTATTGATCAAAACGAGTCGCGCAAATATTAGTCTTACAGTACTACATGGTAACGCAGTTGTCCTTTTGGCACATGTCAAAGAAAGACTTGTATGCATATCCTTGACAATTAAACTAGGATTATTCTACTTGTATTACCTACACAAGTGAAGTTTTTAGCTAAACAAGTCATGAAGAAATTAAATTTACGTACGTATATATATATATATATTATCATTTCCATGACATGACGCAAACGTGACAAACGCAAGTGAAACCGTTTTGATCCTTTCTTTACTTTGATCATTTTATACGTGTATCACTCAGATAATTCAGACGAACTTTTAGAATTCTGTAAAGATCATATTACTTTTATTTCTCTTTTCATTTCCTTGGTCTATGACAAGCCCTATTCATGAAAGGCAAGAAGCTTTTGGCAGCTGGTCACTCACTTATCCTGCACAAATGGGTTGTATCCAAAAACCAAAATTCTGCAAAGGGGGATTAGAGATTAGACAAAGGAAAGCCCACCAAAAGCCAGTCATTTCATGTCAAATTCAATCACACATATTGTATATATTCTTAATAGTTTTGACTCTCTCACCTTTCAGCCCTTTTGAGGTATACATGCATATACTTTTGTTCTTTTCCTTAAGTGTGGTTACTCCTTTTGCATTTGGGGGCCTGCCCCATACTCTATAGTCGTGCCCTTCTGCTGTACAGCTTAGATATGTTATAAACTTTGTTGGCTAATCATACAAAGTATACGCAATATATATATATATATATATATTATGTTTTATTTTTAAGATATGCTTGTTTTGTTGAAATTATCTCACCAAGATTGTTTCCTAATAGGAATTGTATGTCCCTCTTTGTTAACTATTTATAATTTATAGAGAGATTTGTTCCCATGCACTCCTAGCGTTGAATTGGAAAGTGACTTTTTATTGACTCGACCAATCAATGTCCAAGGAAAGTATAATTAGTTATCACTGGATAAAAGATTGACATGTAAGAGTGTCAATTTGTTGTTGGTTAAAAATGAGTAGCATTGGTTAAACTTATAAAATCAAGTTACGTACACACGTATCTACCTGTATAGGATCAGCGTACAAGCCACGCGTCAGCTCCTCGTGAAGGCCGTTATGGTCTGTCTGTCTGTTTTGTGTATTCTTTTCTTTGTTTCTGTGTGTTTTATACCGGTCTCTTCCTATTTGGAATTTGTATATATAGTCGTAAAATACTTGAATGAAAATCATGCATGCTTAAGCAGTTAGATATTAGGGTACCATGAGAAGAGAAGTAGAGAACCTTTACAAAAGTCCACCGTTTGAGTAACGACTACTCTACACCACAATTTGTTTTTTTTTTGTTTTCTCTTTTTTAAATAGGTGGATTTCTACTTTTGCGCCTGATCTTCAATAAAAAGCCACACGAGCTGATTTGCTTCTTTTAATGCAAACGCAAAAAAGCCCACCATTGCCAAAAGCTTCAAAGGTGGTATAGCTTTCTAAGACAACCGACTGGTCAAAGAAAACCAGTCATCTTTTTGAGCACTATATGTGTCCTTTTATATATTATCCTGTGTTAGGAATTAAAAAAACATTAATTTTTTACTATCCGAGACCAATAAGAAAAACGAGAATTAAAAAAATTTAACGTTAGAGCTATGTCCATTTGTCACTGTAAAATATTATTATAATATAAGATATAATGCCATCACTCAATCTCTTTGTTTTTCTCTATAAGATATAATGCCATCACTCAAACTAAAACATACGCAAAATACCTAAAATGCCCCCAAAAATTCGTCTCGGGAGCTCGCGCCTCCCGAACCCTTGGTAGGCTCCACATAACTCAACAGCGTCAACATGCAAAAATCAACATGTTTTATATCCTTGTAATATCATTGCTAGTTGCATCACACGCATACCCAAAAAAAAAAAAAAAAAAACAAATTGGGTATCTGGTTTTGAATTAAAATGATCAGCTGAGAAACCCCATTTTAACTCAACAGCGTCAACATGCAAAAATCAACAGTTTTATTACCTTGGAATTATCTTTGCTAGTTGCATCACACGCATACCCAAAAAAAAAAAAAAAAAAGCAAATTGGGTATCTGGTTTTGAATTAAAATGATCAGCTGAGAAACCCCATTTGGTCTTTGGATCACCACAAAGATTAATTTGGTTCAACTTTTCAAAAAAACCCAACTTTAGTGAGTAGTCTCACTCTGTCTGAGTGGTTCTTCTGTTTGCTTATAAGCTGAGTTTATTTGTTTTCTGTTAACAATTAATGCTTTTTGGCTGTATCTTTCATGTTGCTCTTCTCTCTCTGTATAATCACTTGTCAATATCCAATGTTGGTATATGCCTTTGCATTTAATGCTATTTCAGTGAATATTTTCCATTTATATTCAGCACTGGGGCTTGAGCCAGATTTTTTTTTTTGGTTAGTATGCATGGAATAAAGTGGCGGGGTTACTATAGTTTGAAGCCTTTCAAGTTCATGGAAGTTGAAATTTCCACACACAAGCGTTCCAAGAGGTATTAGCTCTTTATACTTCAGCTTTTCTTATTTCACTCGTGAACTTTGTAACTTGGGAAAAGTTTTTGGAGAAAAGAACAAAAGAATCCCACTTTTGAATCGGTAAATATTTTTTTTAGCATTGAAAATGAACACATATAAAACTAAGCTGTGAAGTTCAGATGAAAACTTTTCAACATTTTTCAAAAACGTTTGTATTAAGTTCTAGCTATACACTAATACAATATGCATTTCGTAACTTCTTGTGTTTCTTTTTTGTGACAGCGATCCAGTTAAAAGAAAATCAAAAAGGGATAAACTAAACGCCATTCTTGAAGCTCCTAACAGACTCAAAATGGTAGAGAAGTTCAGAGTTTGTTTTTCTTTCTTTCTTCCTTCATTAAGGTTTAGATTTTTGTTTCTTTTTTTCTAAATTTTTTATTGTGGTCGGGTAAATTCCAATGGTTAGAGCAGTTTTGCTTACAAAGTGTTCTCCCCTTGTTTTCACAGAAGGAAATAGTAGGAACCAAAGGCTCTGCTGAAGCTCGGAAAAGGCATATCGAAAAAACCGATGTTCAGAGCTCTTTGAACCAGGAGGTATGGAGAGAGATAGTAGTTTCTGAGCATATGAGCAGATTTGGATCTTTGATTTCTAAAGAATATGCTTATGATTTTTTCCACAAGTATTGTAAAGGACATTGCAACTACTAGTCTGGTCAAAATTTGGCTTGATTTCTCAACCTATAGGACTTTTATTTGTTCTGCAGATTATGAAGCTTCAAAGGCAATTACAAGACCAATTTCTGGTACGTCATGCACTGGAAAAAGCGCTTAGTTATCAGCCATTGTCACATGAAGTAGCAATTGATGATTCCGTACCAAAGGTAACTAACTATTTTTTACAATTATCTACATTTGAAGATATTATATCATTTCTTGTTTTTAAGAATTCTTGCTTTTGCTAATCATTTGATATTCCAACTTGGTTTCAGCCCACTAAGGAGCTAATAAAGGAAATCACAGTGTTGGAACTGGAAATCCTGTATTTGGAACGGTATCTTCTCTCCTTGTATCGGAAAACATTTGATCAACAAATGTCATCAGCGTCAACAGCAGATGGAAGACTAGATTCAGCTTTAGTTACAGAGAAAGGGACATCCTCGGAAGTTTCTGGACAAGCTGATATTATGCCACACAGAGAGAATTCAGTTTTGCACCACTCTCGTAATCTTATGCCGCCGCGAAATTCACTTGGCAGCCTGCAGGAATGTGATGACATGTGGGAACCGGAGAAACTTCTAGATTCGAGCATTCATCGCAGTCACTCGTCTCTATCTCAGCGTTCATTTTGTTCCTTTAGAACTTCACCAAGGAAGTTTCTAAATAACGCTGTGAATTCATACCACTCCTTACCTTTGTCAATGCTAGAGGTAACTAGATTCAAGAAATTTAACTAAAGGGCAATACTGCACTACAAGGTTCTATAGTAACATCCACAAAAATTTCGGAGTTACCATGCAGCCAAATCTCAGCCACTAGGTGATGGAAAGATCGATCTCAGTAATTAAAACAAATTTATCACCTAAAAGTTGAAAAAAAAAAGTTCAACCGATCGAGTCGTTTCTTTCCATCATCCAACAACTGAGATTGGTATGTCCCGAAAATTGGAATGTATTGTAGCTTCTTCCTATAATTGGTGTTTGTGAAAGTAATATTCCCACCTAATGCATAATCAATCCTCAATTTATTGTTTCAGCAAGCTGAAAGTTCAACACCAAATGCAAGTCTAGCAGAGCATTTAGGTGCTAGTTTGTATGACCACGTTCCAGAGACACCGAACTGCCTATCCGAGGAGATGATAAGGTGTATTTCAGCCATATACTGCGAACTTTCAGACCCGCCTTTGATCAATCAAGATTCCCCTTCCTCTCCTGTTGCATTCTCATCATCAATTTATGAGGCTTCAATACACAGCCACAGTGAGAAGTGGAGCTCAATAAGCAGGAAAATACCATTTTTCAATTCACACCTTGACAACCCTTTTCACTTGGATGAGTCAGAAGGACTTACTAGACCTTACTTTAGAATGCTGAAGGTTCAATGGATATGTAGGGACTCTGAGAAATTAAGAGAGATTGATAACATGCTACAAAAATTTAGGTACAAAACCTCAATTCTTCTGCATCATGGTTTATCTAGTTTTAGAGTAACCATTTCTATCTTGTGTGCTTTTTGTTTGATATTACATGGTTTTTCCTTGCTTCTCTTTATTGTTTCACACAACTTTGGTGCAAATCTGTGAGACGTCGAAGTTGTTTCTTTGCAGGTCGCTTGTCTATCAGTTGGAAGAAGTGGATCTCAGAAAGATGAAGCATGAGGAGAAGTTGGCGTTTTGGATTAATGTTCACAATGCGCTAGTAATGCATGTAAATTTCTGAAGCTAACGAATGATTTTCTGGTGGAGTATCTGTTTTAAAGTATTTCTTGTGGAGTATGTGAATGACACAATCACTTTTTTTTTGGGTGAAAATATGTTGATAGGCCTTTTTGGTTTATGGGATTCCACAAAACAATCTCAAAAGAGTTTCTTTAGTACTCAAGGTAAGTACGGCCTTTTCAACTTAAATTTGAAGAAGAAAATGTTGAGCTGAGTGTGATTCTCATTAGAAGCTCGTGTGTGATTCAGGCTGCCTACAATGTGGGAGGTCACACCATAAGCGTGGATATGATACAGAACTCGATTCTAGGATGCCGACTGCCTCGTCCAGGACAAGTAAATTATCTCATTTCCACAAGGGTTTTTGGCACTTTTACCTCCTGAAGGAAACACCCTCGTGCACGTGACATGACGTGCTCCAATCATGATTCAAAATTTCATTCTCTTCCTTCAAACCAGCTTACATGCCAGACTCCCTTTCCATAATTCTAGATCAAACAAAATTTGTTTATCATATAAATTTTCACATGTAACAAGATTATGTCAAATATGCCGTGATTACTTTGTTGTGGTCTTTGAAGTCATTTGATCGCTTCTTTCCTACTTTTTTTTTTCCCATTAGTTATCTTATTAGCTGATCTTCTTCTTCTTCTTATTTTGTTTGTCCAGTGGTTGAGGCTGCTCTTTTCTTCAAAAACAAAATTCAAGGTTGGAGATGCAAGAAAAGCTTTTGGCATTGATCATCCTGAACCCCTTTTACATTTTGCGCTCTGCTCAGGAAGCCAATATGATCCTGCGGTAAACTTACTTCCTTGCCAATCTTTTAAAACACAATTTAAAACTGCTTTCATAAGTTTTCTCCAGAATATGCAGTTCTCTACTTAGGCTCCATTATCTTGATTACAGTTCCAAGGAAATGAAAAGGGATATACGACAAAACTTAAACTGAAACAAAAATTGTAGTTATTAGAGCGTAAAGATATGGCTATTTTTACTTATAGCAAAAGGAGAAATAGAACAAAAAACTAAGTTAAACATCTTAGCTTCTCCAAACAACTGTAAAAGTGCATTCGTGTCTGTCCAATAGACACTTTTGCTAACACACTATTTACATTGTTTTATGTGAAAATGACATTTGGAGCCTCAACAAGAAGCAATACCAAACTGGTTCTAAGTTCTATCAAATGGGATCCAAGCTTCTAGACTAATGTTAGAGAATATGACAAGATATCCTGCAAGAAGGATTTTTCTGTTTTTCATAGCTATTGTTTAAGTGCTCATATCTTATAATCTCTGTTAAACACTTCCATTATTTGTTTAGGTTCGTGTATATACACCGAAAAGAGTGTTCGAGGAGCTGGAGACGGCGAAGGAAGAATACGTTCAGTCGAACTTCATTGTGCATAAAGAACAGAAAATCCTTCTCCCCAAGATTGTGGAGTCTTTTGCAAAGGATTCAGGCCTGTCCCTGATCGATTTGGTAGAGATGGTCGACCATTTTATGCCCGATTCGCAAAGGAAGAATATAAGTATCCACCATTGTCAACACAAGAAAATCTGTAAGGCCATTGAGTGGATTCCTCACAACTTCACCTTCCACTATTTGCTCTCAAAAGAAGTAGCTTGGTGATGATCTCTTTGCATTCTTCAAACGACCAAGATGATCCCTCTACGACAACTTTTGCTGTTCACTTATCTAAGACTAAAACCATTACACAGCAAACTGGCTCAAGAATGTTGACTTTGACTTCTAAACCAAGGCATGGATATATCATATATTTCCCTCTTGTAAGCTTGAGCTGGTTTGATCACACTAGTAAGAGATTGGTTGATATATATATGTATAAATAAGGCTATATATGCATTTTGTGTAATGTTGTCTAATATTATTTTTTTTTTCAGGTTTTGAAAAGTTATGACTAGTAGTTATTGGAGATGGGTTGATAAGCAAATAAGAAAAGACTGCAAAAAATTGTAGTTCCTACATGTGGTTTCTGCTGGAAAATTGATTGAAGAAAAAATGAAGATGTTGCATTCATAATCTTTTAATTCAAGTTTTCAATACGAAGCTTTAAAATTGCGCCCATTATATTTTAACCTCTTTACCATACCAAGCTCTCATTCATTAAAAAAATATATTGGAAAAGAAAAGAGAGAAACAATGGAAATCCTTTTCTTTTATTCTATTTATTATATGGGGATTAAATAGAGGGTGGAGATCTTTTTAATATATTACCTCAGCAAAAATCTAAAATGTATTTTTTAACTATTAAAAAAAAAACAAGTTTTAGTAAGGCCATCTTGAGTACGAATCATGTTATCGTGAGAGTATTCTCTTTTGTTGGGTTAATGGTGCGTTATATTGTCGTATATCCTAACTCTTTGATGACTTTTTAACGAATTCTAATTGCTATTGATGATTAAAAAAAAAAAAAGGGAACGAATTTGCCCACCATGGGTTAAACCCACGGCCACAAGGTTAATAATTCATAAATATATATATTTATATATGAATTTTGAATGATTATGTTTTTATAGTGAGTTACTAATTAAATACAAATATTTAATGATGTGAATTGATAATAATTTAATCTCATTAGTTATTATATATTTTTTAGTCTATTTAATTTTTTACAACCGTCAAATTAATATCGGGCAAGTAAAAAAATAATAATCACTGATAAATAAATATTAAAATAACCATTAAAATCACTCAATTAAACCCATAATTTCGTCCAAAGTCTCATCTTAGTTAATTTTAAGATTTTAAATGTAAAAGTGGACGTTTGGTTGATGGATTCAGAACCATTTTTGGTTTTTGTGTATTTTTTGTGAGAAAAAATACTATAACGAATCACGAACGATGATTCGAATCATAACACGAATCTATTAACCAAACGCACTATAAAAATTCAATGGCACAACATGTAAATACCAACAAGGTCGGGTGCACCCACTAGCTTAGGGGTTGTTTGGTTGGAGGATTCGTACCCCGATTGAATCATGGTTCATGGTTCGTTATAGTATTTTTTCTCATAAAAAATACACGTAAATTAAAAATGATTATAATTTATAATTCTAATTTATGAACCAAACACATTTGTAGCTTTCAAGAAAAGGGCAAAAAAAAAAAAAAAAGGGGGTGGAATTGGAAACCTCTGTTTATCTTAGAGAGGAAGTCCTTTTTCCCTTAACACATTTGTAGCTTTCTGACTTCCTTGGAAAGTTGGAGGTTAGTGAGATAAAAAGGGGAGAGAAAGAGAATGTGGAGGAAAGAGATTGCTTGACCAGCAAGCCAGAACCAGTAATGTCGTCCCCATCCTTTACACCCAACACTCCTCCTTGCAGGTTTACTTCTTTAAACCAAACCTCATTTTGTTTCTTAGGTTTTCTTTCATTATTTCACCATACACGTACTCATTTTTACCTTTTTTTTTGTTCATGTGCAATTTTTTTCCCCCTCTTTTTACTTCTTTTCTAAGTAAGGTTTTTTTTTTTTTTTTTTGGAACCCCATTTTATTGTGTAATTTAGTGAAATTTCTGCTGAGTTATGTTTGGTAGATTAACCAGGAGGGTTTTGAGAGTGAAGTGTGTTTGGTACCTTCTTTGGACCCTTACTAATGCATGTTCAATTTTCTTTTGGTAGTTTACAAAATGTTACCTCCACTAAAGGCAAAAAAAGAAAATTATGGGGGTTTTTTTTTTTTTTTTTTTTTTTTTTTGTTGCAACAATTATATCTTTGCATAAGGGAAAATGGAAGGTGGAAAAGATTATGGGTTAATTTTTTTTTTTTGTAAATTTCCCTCAAGTAACAATTATATCTTTGCAAAACAGAAAATGAAAGGGAAAAAAGAAATTATGCCCATTAACCAGGAGGATTTTGAGAGTGAAGTGTGTTTGGTACCTTCTTTGGATCCTTACTAATGCGTGTTCAATTTTCTTTCGGTAGTTTACAAAATGTTACCTCCACTTAAGGGAAAAAAGAAAATTATGGGTTTTTTTTTTTTTTTTAACAATTATATCTTTGCATAAGAGAAAATGGAAGGTGGAAAAGATTATGGGTTAATTTTTTTTTTAAAATTTCCCTCAAGTAACAATTATATCTTTGCAAAACAGAAAATGAAAGGACAAAAAGAAACCCCCCCCCCCCCCCCCCCCCCCCCCTCTTTTTTTTTTTTTTTTTTTTTTTTTTTTAATAACCTTAGTGTAATAGGATGTGAGTTCTATATGTAAGACTACATGTAAGGCTTGTACCTTGTGTCTTGTGGTCATCATTAGGTCAGCTGATGAATAGGTATGCTATTTGCATAAAAATGTGGAAATCTAGTATACAAAATAATGCTATATCATATTGGAAGTTGATTAAAAAATTAAGAAGTTTGTTGATATTAAAAGGTTATCACGTCTAGATGAGATTAAAGATGACAACTCTTCGCTATGTGAATTGGTATGAAAAAATTGGGATCACTAGCACCACTCTGTTAACATTCGATGAGATTGAGCCATTGCCAAAATCATTACACATCCTTTCTAGTTGAGCAAAACGCGCTCCCTACTTCGACTGTAAAGCAAGATTACTATGGGATGAAAAACATTGTGATTCTCGCAATACCGTCTCTGACCTAGGTGTTTCATCTTTTCCTTCTTGAGTCAGGTATCTAGTTGACTAGTCTGATGTGGGGAAATATAGTAAAGTTTCAGTTGGTGGTTAGTTTTGCACGTTTACTAAAATGCTTGCTATTGTGTGAGTGTTAATTTGTCTTTCAGATATCTATCATATATAGGCTAAGTTTTTTGTTGATCTTTGTCAATGTACACTACTTGATTCTTTGAAAATTATGCTGTTATCAGGTCCTCTCCTCCTGAAAAGACATGGTTGGAGGATATGCTGGGTGTAAAGAACCTCCGGGGATTAAAGGGAAATAGGAAAAGAAGTCGCGACAAGAAAGTTGCGGATGCTTCGGAGTTATTGGCCAAAGCTACCAAGGACTGCAATAAGGTTTGAACTGCCTCTACAAATGTTGTAAATGTTAATTGTTACTTGTCAGAATAATAAAAGCGGAAAGCATCCCCTGCATAAGGTAATGGAGACGGCAGAGAGTACACCATCAGCCCCCAAACAATCGCAGCAGAACCTCACAGAAGCTTTAGTTGGTGTTGCTACCAGGTTCAGCGCACCTCAAGACCAAACGCATGAAAATTCTGTCCAAGTGGAATGCACAAAGTCTGCCCCACAAAAGGATCTTTCTTCAACTCAGCCGCATGTCCAAGTCAAATCCGAAACATCAAATGATGACTTGGTGGACTTCCGGGGCTTGGCAATGCTTCCAAGGTGCCATGCCGCATTGCTTGAGGAGGCCTGTCTTGATCATCCAGATTTGGCCATTTGCTCGGGCAGCAGGACCTCCAGATGGCGCCATTTTGCTTATGAAACGTTGGGGGAGCTGCTGTTTTTCCTGCATTCAACGAGAAGGAGAGAAATGACTGAGGAGATGTGCAAGCGTCTCAAAGGGCTGTGGAAGGAGGCTCAACTTTTGGGGTTTGATTTATCTTGGTTGTCTACTACTGTGACGTTTGGACTTAGCGCAAGTTCCCATTTGGAGTGGCAGAGGGAGGGTGTTCTTACGCTGGAAAATCAAAAGAGGCATTTGAATGAGGAGAGGGATAGTCTGCGGTGTCAATTGTCGACACTAACGATGCGGTTGTGCCAGAATGAGCGGGATAGTGCTGCCTTGGAGAAGCAGTTTTTGCAGGCCAAGGCTAACCTCAAGCTCACTGAGGAGGCTTTTCTTTGTGTGCTCTTTTGACTAAGGATACAAGATGGGAATATACTTAACTAAGTTGACTGGTTAAAGTTAGGTTGGGTTTCTGATCTTAGTAGCTCGGAGATCGGTAAGCTTTTTGTGAAGCAGATGATCGCCAAGTATAGTTCATCAAGAAATGAAAAAGAAAGATGCTTTAGAACCGTCGTGTTTTGGATTCTGTTAAAAATTGAGCTTTTGTTTGCTCACTAGCTATGGCTGTGATTTTGCTGTTGTTAAGATCAGACTTCTTACCCTTTTTTGCCGAGTCTTATACGCATAGAAACATGAGATAGCAAATTATGGCTGCATGTTATTTGAAGTCTCAATACTCGCTGTTGCTAACTTTTGCTTTGCCAATCTACATGAACCTTTGGCATATGCTCTTATTATGCAATTTTTGTAGTATGATATTTGTTAAGCTAATTAGTGACTGAAATATTTGTTGTCGTATTTGTTTTGGTGATCACACAACACACCTTTGGACTTGTGCACTCTCACAACATGCATCTTTGGACTTCTACTCTCTTTTTAGATTATGTCGTTGGGTTCTTTCGGTCCTATAGAGTGGAGTGTTGTCGGGCTCTAGGGCTCATTTAAGCATAGTTTCTAGTCTTTATTAGTTGTGCACTTGGGGTAATTTTGCTTATGTCGGTCTTTCGCCATTCTAATAACGTCTTGTTTCAAAAAAAAAAAAAAGAAAAGAAAAAAAAAAATAGGTTTGTAATGTAAAAATTGACATATCAAAATTAGAAAAAATACGAGAGCCTGAATAGATGTCATGATAATAAATATCATATTAAACATACTAAAAGAAAGGGTTGCGAATGCTAATTTTTTTTTACGTCATTGATATGTGGATATGAACGATTTGAATGACAAGGACGTTCATCGAAGCATTTGTAGTATTTTATTAAACATAATAGAAGGAAAGATTTGAGTATTCTAGGGATTATTTGGAGAATATATTTGAACTCATAATTTAGGTTTAATTACAGTACTTTTTATCTTATAAAAAATTTAAATTAAAAAATATTTTTTTTCATAAAAATTTTTACTACTGAATCATAATTATTGACTTAAATATATATTCTAAACGGCCGCTAATGTTTTACATAAGAACTTGGGTGATAAATGTTTTCGTTCTTATTTGTTACCATTTTTATTCTTCTTCTAAGTTGTAACTTTCAGCATCAAAACTAATTCTTTATTTATTTATTTTTTTCTTTTAATGGCATGGAAAGCAAAGGGAGGCTGTGGGGCCTGGGATATCTGAATTCTGATCAAAACTCTCCCCATTTTCTTCTGTTGGATAAAAAAAAAAATCACATAATTTATCAAATTGTTATTTAACGGGTTACAGAGAAGCAAGTTTATTTTGTCATGAGAGTAACAAGTGAACCATATGAGCCACAAATTTCCCCTGGCAAATAAGAGCCACAAGTTTATTTTCTCCCCTATTATTTTACCCTCGTAAAACAAATTTTAACTTTATGGGGACTAACAAAATAAAGATTCATGAAGAAAGCGACATTTTTGTTTTCTCTCAATTGGAAAATGTTTGTCGTTTGTGAAAAAAACTGGAGAGATATTTTCTGTGATAAAAGGAGCACCAGATACTGAAAATCAAAACTCAAAAGAAAAAAAAAATAAATAATAGAAAGAAACAGAGCTAATTTTGGCAGGAGCACTTTGTATAAATAGACTAAATAAAATACATTTTTAAGTAAATAAACCACAAAAAAAATAAATTGGGTAAATAATCCAACTTTCACATCAGCATTCCACGTCATCAATTATGTTTTTAGGATTTTCTTTCTCCTCATCCTCTTCCATTTTGCGCCATTTTCTTCTCTCAGCCGCCTTCAATTTCTCCTCTCTTCTTCTCAAGTCATCGTCGTCGCATAACCTCATTAACATTATTATCTTGGCCATTCAACGTTTGTTTCTCGTCCAAAACGAAGTTTGAAGAAGAGCTACTAAGTAAGTCTTTCATTTTCTATATCTCTCATGGTGTTTTTCGTTGTTGTTCATATGTTTTTAAGATGAGAATGTAGTTAAAAATGTTAAAAATCCATTAAAATAGTAATTTTACATGTTAAAAGACTAGTTTACATTGTCTGATATGATGAAGATCTGCCGGGTTTAGAAAAAAAAAGGTTTGTTCTTGGTCGGTTCGTGGTCTGTTCTTGGTCTGTTCTTATACATGGTCGGTTCTTGGTCTGTTCTTATAACATGGTCGGTTCGTGGTCTGTTCTTGGTTTGTTCTTATACATGGTCGGTTTCTTGGTCTGTTTTTGGTCTGTTCTGGTTCGTGGTCTGTTCTTGGTTTGTTCTTATAGCATGGTTGGTTCGTGGTCTGTTCTTGGTTTGTTCTTATAACATGGTCGGTTCGTGGTCTGTTCTTGGTCTGTTCTTATTGCACGGTCGGTTCTTAGTCTGTTGATGGTCTGTTCTTATTGCACGGTCAGTTTTAAGTCTGTTCTTATTGCACAGTCGGTTCTTAGTCTATTCTTGGTCTGTTCTTGGGTTGTTCTTATTATATGGTATGTTCTTGGTCTGTTCTCATTATATGGTATGTTCTTAGTCTGTTCGTGAGATATTTGGTTTGGTTTAATGACATATTATTATCTTGATTAAATTTTTGCAGTTTTAAAATCTAAATAATGGCTCAGTGGAGGATTTTTTTTTGACATTGGAGGAAAATGGGATGAGACTGAAAGTTGTTGGGTGTGGCATACAGATTGTAATTTAATTGGCATATATATGGATGAGAAGGATACTCTCAAAACCTTCGTTGACAAGATTTGTAGAAAATGTAGAATTGATGGACAAAAAATTCTTTGCAGCTATCGTGGGTACCGAATTTGAAACAGAAATCGTTGCCCATTGTAATAAAAGACAATGATGATTTGTTATTCTTCAGGGCTATAGCCCACGAGGTACCGCTACACGTGATAGTGGATGGGAAGTTTATGAATCCAGAAGAACATATTAATGGAGTTAAAATTAGGAGAAATCCTTTGCATGATGATTTTTTTGATCGTGATTTTATGGGTAATGTAGCTACATATGAGTTTTCGACTCGTAATGATATTCCACCACAGTCACAACCACAATTAGAGTCACAGCCACAACTAGAGCCACAACCACTAACCATTTTAAATGAAGTAGAAGTTGCTGGTCCTTTAGTTTGTATCGACAAGACTGAGTTTGGATCATCTCATGGATCTACCTTCAGTGACGGATCTAGTTTAGAAGTTGGTCAGTACTTTACAAGTAAGAATGATTTGAAGGAAAAGCTGCATTTAATAGCTTTGAAGGGGAAGTTTGAGTTTCGAACAACAAAATCAAATAAAGATATGTTTGTAGTAGAGTGTGTGGATCCGAAATGTGTGTGGCATATCCGAGCCTGCAAACTGAGACTATCGAACATGTTTGTAATCCACAAGTATAATGGTGTTCACTCTTGCTCGTTAGAAAAGCGTTCAGCGAAGCACAGGCAAGCAACGTACTCCGTTATTGGAAGTTGCGTGAAAAACCAATTTATAGGCATCAAACAGGGTCTGGTTCCTAAATCAATTCAGAAATATGCCCATGACGAATTCGGGACGGACTTCCGTTATTACAAAGGATGGAAGGCTCGTGAGCATGCACTTCAACTCATAAGAGGTACGGCCGAAGAAAGCTTCACTAAGCTCCTATCATACTTTCATATGGTGTTTCTTACTAATCACGACAGCATCACCAATATTCATTTTGATGAACATAACAGTTTTATCTATCTTTTCCTAGCATATGGACCTTGTATACGAGGTTTTGGTTGCATGAGGAAAGTTATCAGTGTTGATGGAACGTGGTTGAAGGAAAAATTCAGAGGTACGTTGTTAGTTGCCACTGCATAGGATAGTGAACGTCATTGTTATTCCATCGCATGAGCCATTGTAGACTCAGAGAATGATGCATCCTGGACATGGTTCTTCTCGAACTTGAAGGAATTTATCATTGATTCTGAGGAATTAGTTTTTATTTCTGATAGGAATCAAAGTATAAGTAATGCATTGTCTACAGTTTATATATTAGCACATCACAGTTGTTGCACATGGCATGTGTCTCAAAACATCAAGAGTAATTTCAGATGTAGCGGTGTTCTGCCATTGTTCTTTAAAACCGCTGAGGCCTACCGCATTGACGAGTTTTCTGTCTTGTTTGATGAGTTGTCTGCAAGATATCCCAGTATTGCTAGATACCTACAGGAGCAAGTTCGTTTTGAAATGTGGTCTCGTGCTCATTTTAAAGGAAATCGATATAATATTATGACCACAAACATGTCTGAGTCAGTTAATGCAATGCTCAAAGATGTTCGAGATTACCCTATCATTGCCCTCTTTAATTTTATACAAGCGAAGATGTCAGAGTGGTTTAATAACAGGTGGGTCGAAGCTTCTAAAACTAAAACATTATTAACACCAAGTGTGGAAAAAACTCTTCGTGAGAGGCACAACAAAGCGGGATTTCTAACGGCCACAAGACTTAATACTGTTGAGTTCCAAGTGACAGGTGGATAGGCCACTGCAATTGTCAACATTGGAGCGAGGAGTTGCACTTGTCGTGTGTTCGACCTTGAGCAGATACCATGCGAGCATGCAATATCATGTTGTAGAGAAGCAGGTATGTCACTCTATGATTTATGCTCAAAATACTACAGGACAGAAGTTTGGGCTCTTGTGTATGCTGAGACAATCTATCCTGTGCCGAATACTTCGCAATGGGATATTCTAAATCACGTAAAAGAAGTTCACCTTCTTCTACCGCGAGCTGTACTAAAGAGGGGTAGGCCAAAGCAAAAATGCATTCCCAGCATAGGTAAGTTCACACGAAGACAGAATCGATGTGCTAGGTGTGGGCAATATGGACACTATCAGAAGAAATGTAAAAACGCAACGATGTAATCATGATTTATAAATTTTAGTGTTACAATGTATTTACACTTATTATATTCAACAGGTTGTAAAATGTATTCAGCAGGTTATTATGGCTTTAGGGAAGCTTATATTTATGGGAATGCGGGGGTACAGGCACCCGCGCGTAGGGTGGCACGGGCGCGCGCGCGCGGGGGGGCACTGGTGACCAGAACCGATCGAGAACACAAGAACATACCAGAAACGACTAACGCAGCAAGAACATACCAGAACCGACCCAGAACAGACCGAGAATAGACAGAGAACAGACCAAGAACAAACTATAATAAAACATTAAAAAACATACATTTTTACATATTTTTTTGAATTTTTAGGTAATAATAAACATTGTAATTTATAAAAGAGAAAAAAAAATTGGTTAGAAAAGAAAAAACCTAGAACAGACCAAGAACAGACTAAGAACAAACTCTAACAAAACATTAAAAAACATACATTTTTACATATTTTTTTGACTTTTTGGGTATTAATAAATATTGTAATTTATAAAAGAGAAAAAAAATTTGGTTAGAAAAGAAAAAACCTAGAACAAACCAAGAACAGACCAAGAACAAACTCTAACAAAACATTAAAAAACAGATATTTTTACATATTTTTTTGACTTTTTGGGTATTAATAAACATTGTAATTTATAAAAGAGAAAAAAAAATTTGTTAGAAAAGAAAAAACCTAGAACAGACCAAAAACATACTATGAATAGACCAAGAACAAACTCTAACAAAACATTAAAAAACATACATTTTTACATATTTTTTTGACTTTTTGGGTATTAATAAACATTATAATTTATAAAAGAGAAAAAAAAATTGGTTAAAAAGGAAAAAACGTAGAACAGACCAAGAACAGACCAAGATGGTTCTTGTTCTGTTCTTGGCTGTTCTTGTTCTGTTCTTGGCTGTTCTTGGTCTGTTATAGGTTTTTTCTTTTCTAACCAATTTTTTTTTCTCTTTTATAAATTACAATGTTTATTAATACCCAAAAAGTCAAAAAAATATGTAAAAATGTATGTTTTTTAATGTTTTGTTCTTGGTCTGTTCTAGGTTTTTTCTTTTCTAACTAATTTTTTTTCTCTTTTATAAATTACAATGTTTATTAATACCCAAAAAGTCAAAAAATATGTAAAAATGTATGTTTTTTAATGCTTTGTTAGAGTTTGTTCTTGGTCTGTTCTAGGTTTTTTCTTTTCTAACCAATTTTTTTTTTCTCTTTTATAAATTACAATGTTTATTAATACCCAAAAAGTCAAAAAAAATGTAAAAATGTATGTTTTTTAATGTTTTGTTAGAGTTTGTTCTTGATCTGTTCTTGGTCTGTTCTAGGTTTTTTCTTTTCTAACCAATTTTTTTTCTCTTTTATAAATTACAATGTTTATTAATACCCAAAATGTCAAAAAAATATGTAAAAATGTATGTTTTTTAATGTTTTGTTAGAGTTTGTTCTTGGTCGTTTAAGGTTTTTTCTTTTCTAACCAATTTTTTTTTTCTCTTTTATAAATTACAATGTTTATTAATTTTCAAAAAGTCAAAAAAATATGTAAACATGTATGTTTTTTAATGTTTTGTTAGAGTTTGTTCTTGGTCTGTTCTAGGTTTTTTCTTTTCTAACCAATTTTTTTTTCTCTTTTATAAATTACAATGTTTATTAATACCCAAAAAGTCAAAAAAATATGTAAAAATGTATGTTTTTTAATGTTTTGTTAGAGTTTGTTCTTGGTCTGTTCTTGGTTTGTTCTCTGTCTATTTTCGATCTGTTCTCGGTCGGTTCTGGTCTGTTCTTGCTATGTTAGTTGGTTTTGGTCTGTTCTTGTGTTCTCGGTCGGTTCTGGTCGCCAGTGCCCCCCTGCGCGCACGCGCACCCGTGCCACCCCCGCGCGCGCGCCCGTTCCCCCCCGGACATACATTATTGTGTAAAAATTTTGGCAGCATTTCCCCATAAATATAAGCTTCCCCAGAGCCAAAATAACCCGTTGAATGTGATAAGTATAAATGCATTGTAATGCCAATAATAAAAATACTGCAACACCAATAATGTTGTGTATACATTTTACAACAAGCAAAACAACCAACATTTCATATACTACTACTCATGGGCCTCTTAAGCTTGTACTCACTCCAAATTTCGACTGCAAGTTCCAACAGGTAAGCTTCTACTTGTTCTTCAGTGAGGTCTTTTAACGGGATTCTGCGGACAAGGTATTCGATAAATTTGTATGTGTAAACTCCGCAGTCACATGATCTAAGGTTGTGGACCAACCACTTGGGATGAACGATTGGCCACGCACAGTCAAGTTTATCGCCTAGATGGTTAAATAAACCTGTGTACTTCAAGAACTTGGGCATCATGATAGAGATTGGCTCCACGTGTTTTTGCATTTGTTGATCTCTGTACATCAAAACAGCTGAGTCATACACCTTTATGTTAAATTCAGATAAATCAACATAAAGCGCAACCCAATGCTTCCTTTCAATGTTAAGAGGCATAGTGAAGCCCTGCACGCCATCCCATTTCTAGCCAATCATGTGCTTTTTTCTACAGACATATTCATCTAGATCGTTGTCAAATGTATACGTTGCCAAGTTCTTTTTGTTGGTGATGAATCGCGCTATCAACTTTTGGCAAAATACATTATCTAGGATGATAATATCGTTATTGAACTGCCTTTCGGGTGCCCGTGACCTTCTAATCGATAGAAGACTCCATGCCTCGTCAATTTGTTGTAAGTCATAAAAAATAAATTAAGTATAATGATAATGGTATAAAAAATAAGACTAGAAATTTAGAAAATATGTTGTGATTACTTACATCATTGAACAACCATTCACCTGGCTTCAAGATGATCCGGAAGAAGTCCTTCCTCCAATCTTCAAAACCGCACTTAATCAGCTCAGAGTCTGTACTAGTATCAGCGAACCACTTGTTAAAGGCCTCGACAGCATCTTTAAAGGTCCACATCTTCTTCCTCACGTTACGCAGGGGATCTGTGTAAGGCGACTCAAAATACTTGCTGGGCCTTTTAAGTCACTTTTCATTCTTGGATTCAGACTATGGCCCTGAATGAACCTGTTGCTCAAGTTGAGCCTCAGGCTCTAGCTGAACCTGTGGCTCATGTTGTTCCTCAGGCTCAGGCTGAACCTGTGGCTCAAGTTCTTCCTCAGGCTCTGGCTGAACTTGTAGCTCAAGTTCTTCCTCAGGCATTGGCTGTGACTGTAATTGTTGTTTTGCTAGACATGCTATATTGTCCTTAATTTCTCTAACAGATTGGTCTAGTGAGTCTAACCTATTGTTGATGGCTTCAAAATGTCTACTGATGAGTGCGTAATTTATGCACTCATTCGTTACTCCTTTAGCTAGTTCGACATGTTTTTCCTCAAGTTTTTATGTGAATTTGACCATTTTCCCTTAAGTGTGCAGTAATGGATGAAATCGCTGAGTTTTGAGGCATTTTAGATAAAAAAGACAGAGAATGAGGCGATACGTCGCCTTCAGATGGCAATGCGGCTTGAAAAGGAGCAAAAATCGAAGAAGAGACAGCGAGAGCTGCGACATGTCGCTTCCTTCCAGGTGATATGTCGCCGACTCTAGGCGATATGTCACCACCTACAGGCGATATGTCGCCTGCCCTAGTCTGTGCACAGAAAATAGAGAGAGTTGCGATATGTCACCTATTTATAGGCGATATGTCGCCTCCCAATTTCATTAAAAACACGCGTTTTTGCCCTAGATTAAGAAAGGAGATTTTTATGGAAAGTGATTGGCTTCTGGGGAGGCGTGCAAAACGTGGGATATAAAAGGGGAGACTAAAAACGGCAAAAAGGGAGGAGAAAAAGGGTTTTCAAAAAGAGAAAAACTGAATCGGAGAGGATTGGAGATTGGAGCAGTTCTTCAAGAATTCCAAGCGTTCTTTCTTCTCTTTCTTCTTGTATTTCTCTAGATTTGGCATATTATTTTGAGACTGTGAGCCACATGATGTGTGGCTAATTTTCTTATTTGTTAGGGTTTAGATGAATCTCTATTTGTGATTATTGTTTTGACATTTTAATGTGCATTTAATTAAGCTCTTCGTTTCTTCCGTGTTCTATTTTGAATTATTGCTACTAAATCTATGATTTACATATTGCCATGCTTTATGAGATTTTGAATTGGGCAGATTTTTGTTGTGAGGATTAATACTCGAGAGGTGAACGTTCAAGCAATCAAGAAACAGATAGAACAACTTAGGTTGGTGTGAGATCGAGAGATAAACATTGCCTAGATAACCGAAACAATTTTAGGTTGTGAAATTGAGAAGTGGAATTCTAGGAATTGTTTCTAGAGTGGAACTTAATGAAGGTAGGGATGAATAGTTGTATAGAGATATAGGCTTGATATCACCTACACATTCTTTAGGCGGCACTCGAGAGAGGGTATAAGGATATACATCACTCTAGGTTCTTGAGAACGTTGAGTTAGGTTAGGCACATTACTACGGAGAAACATAATCGCAATAGAGTGAAGTCAAGACCCTAGCATTTTTATCATATTGATTTTTCGTTCTAATTTCAGCACATATTATTAATTACTGTCATCTTTCCTTTCGATTTAGTTTTCCTTTATTTTAGTTTTTCTTTGAGTTTATCACATCCAAATTTGATCGCTTAGATAAAGTTAAGATATGATATTCACAATAGTTAGTTTATATTCTTAACGTCAATCCTCGTGGGACGATATCGGTCTTCGGACCACTATATTACTTGTATGACTTGTGCACTTGCAAGCGTAGTCAAATTATATTGCAACAAGTTTTTGGCGCCGTTGCTGGGGGATTGAACGGCTAAGAATTAAATTACTATAGTGAAGAAATATCTTGTTTTAATCTAAGTTTTTTTTTATTTGTATTTATTTATCTATTTTTCTTTTGTTGTGTTCGTAGGTGCATGCAAAAAGCACGTGGCTTGGAACTCTTGCCTTTGGATTCAAAAATCGAACGAACTGTTCGAGCATTAAGGAGAGAACGATGAGCTAGGGCTAAGAACATGGCCGAGGAACAAAACCAAGCATACCAGCAACGGACGTTACGAGATTATTTCAAGCCCGTAGTGAACGAGAATTATTCGGGCATCCAACGTCAACAAGTCAATGCCAACAACTTCGAGCTCAAGCCGGCCCTCGTCAATATGGTCCAGCAGAACCAATATGGAGGCTTGCCGCACGATCCCAATATCCATTTGGCCACTTTTCTAGAGATTTGTGACACAGTGAAGATTAATGGAGTGAGTGCCGAGATCATCCGTTTGAAACTCTTCCCATTCTCCTTGCGAGACTGGGCTCAGTCATGGCTTCAATCTTTACCATCAGGGAGTGTAGCCGCATGGGAGGACATGGCCCAAAAGTTCCTCATCAAATTTTTTCCGCCTTCCAAGACGTCTCAATTGAGGGCCGAGATTACTCAATTTCGGCAGTTTGAGTATGAACAATTATATGAGGCGTGGGAACGGTTTAAAGAGATACTCCACAAGTGTCCTCAACACGGTATTGAGGATTGGTTCTAAGTTCAACTTTTCTACAATGGGCTTATTGGGCAAACTAAGGCTCATATTGATGCAGCGGCTAGTGGAACCATCTTGTCAAAGACACTCGGGGATGCACTCAATCTCTTTGAGGACATGGCAATGAATAGTTGTCAATGGCAAAACGAGCGGTCCACTGTGAAGAGAGCAGCAGGGATTTATGAAATTTTAGTATATGCAAAATTTATGATGTGGATCAAACGACGTCTCTTATGGCTTAAATGGCGCTCTTGACTAATCAAATCTAGGGACTAACCGCAGCCAATGCCAATGGTAATCAAGAAGCTGTAAAGATGGCACAAGCTTCGAGCTCAAGTGATTCATATGATGAGCAATGTCACTTTGTCAACCGAAGCTACAATTTTAGGCCCAATAACAACTTACCGACATACTATCATCCCGGGCTCAGAAACCATGAGAATTTCTCTTATGCCAACAACCGGAATGTTTTACAACCAACTCTGGAGTCGAGTAAACCGGCAATGGAAAAGCCTTCCTCATCACTTGAAGAACTTTTGAAGACATATATTGTGGACTCTAAGGCTCGTCTTGATCAACATGACGCTCGTCTCAACAACATTGAAACTCACTGCACTAATTTGGGAGGCACTATGAAGGCACTAGAAACACAAGTTGGCCAATTGGCTAATGCTATAAAAGGGCAATCATCAAGGTCCTTCCCAAGCGACACTGAAAAGAACCCAATGGAGTGCAAGGCCATCACATTGAGGAGTGGCAAAGAGCTTGAAGGCCCGAGTGTTCAAAACGCCGTGGTTGATGAGGAGCCTATCAAGAGCAACGACGATGGTAAGGATAATTCAAAGGAGGAAAATCTGAAGGCTAAAAAGGAAGCACCGGTGGTTAGACCGGGTTCGATCACTTTTTTGGATAACCCACCTCATATCACTCCCTCATTGCCATTCCTTCAACGGTTCCAGAAGAAGGCGCTTGACGAGCAATTTGAGAAATTTCTCAATATCTTCAAGAGGATCCACATTAACATCCCCTTTGTGGACGCTCTAGAGCAAATGCCAAACTATGCCAAATTCATGAAGGAAGTTATGTCCAAGAAGCGCAACTCGAGGACTATGAAACGGTGAAGCTTACGGAAGAGTGTAGCGCTATCATAAAAAGACAACTACTGGAGAAGTTGAAGGATCCGGGTAGTTTTACCATACCATGCATCATTGGAGAACTTCACATTGAGAAGGCCTTGTGTGATCTCGGGGCTAGCATCAATCTCATGCCTCTCTCTATCTTCCGGAAGCTGGACCTTGGAGAGATCACACCTACCACCATCTCATTCCAATTGGAGGACCGCTCTCTCACCTACCCTAAAGGTATTATCGAGGATGTCTTGGTTAAAATTGATAAATTCATTTTTCCAGTTGACTTTGTGGTGTTAGACATGGAGGAAGACCAGGAAATTCCTATTATTCTGGGCAAACCTTTTCTTGCGACCGGGAAGGCTTTGATTGATGTCCATGATGGTAACTTGACACTCCGGGTGAACGGCGAAGAGGTAAAGTTCAACATTAGTAACGCCATGAAATTTCTGGAAAAGTGACCAAGTTGTAACCGGGTAGATGTGGTAGCCCCGTGCTTAAAGGACTTCTTTCAAACCATTATTTATAAGGACCCTTTGGAGAGATGTCTTTCAACACCGTTCTCTAAAGGGGATCTTGGGGTAGAGTTCGGTGCGTGTGAAGTGGACTTGATTGATATTGTCTATGCTCTAAAGGCACTACCAGAGGAGAAGGCTAATCCGAAGGAAAAGGATGTACTTAAAGTGCCCACACTTTATAAAGGCTCAGAATTGAAAACCACCACTAGTGACGGGCTAGTTTTGAAGCAATTACCCGACCATCTTCGCTACGTATTCTTGGGAGATGACTCTACTAAGCCGGTCATAATATCGGCATCTTTGAGCGAGGAGGACGAACGGAAGTTGATCAACGTGCTAAAAAGGTACTTATCCGCTTTTGCTTAGTCAATTTCTGACATTAAGGGTATTAGTCCGGCCATTTGTATGTACAAGATTCTCATGGAGGACTCCTACAAGCCTTCTATTGAACACCAACGGAGACTTAATCCCGCAATGAAGGAGGTTGTGAGAGCGGAGGTTCTGAAGCTATTAAATGCCGGTATTATATATGCCATTTTTGATAGTTCATGGGTTAGTCCGGTGCAAGTGGTGCCAAAGAAGGGTGGCATGACGGTAGTTAAAAATGAGAAAAATGAGCTCATTCCAACTCGCACGGTAACGGGGTGGCGAGTGTGTATTGATTATAGGAAGCTAAACAAGGCCACCCGGAAAAACCATTTTCCATTGCCCTTCATTGATCAAATGCTAGATCAATTGGCGGGGCACGAGTACTATTGCTTCCTTGATGGCTATTCGGGTTATAACCAAATTGTCATTGCCCCGGAGGACTAGGAGAAGACCACATTCACTTGTCCATATGGTACATTCGCCTTCCGCCGGATGCCTTTCAGTTTATGCAATGCGCCGGCTACCTTCCAACGATGCATGATGGCCATCTTTACCGACATGGTGGAGAATATTATGGAGGTATTTATGGACGACTTCTCAGTCTTTGGATCATCTTTTGATTCTTGTTTGCACAATCTTGGGTTGGTGCTTCAAAGATGTGTAGAGACAAACCTTGTGCTTAATTGGGAGAAGTGCCACTTCATGGTGAAGGAGGGGATCGTCCTTGGTCACCGAGTTTCGTCACTAGGTTTGGAGGTGGATCGAGCCAAGATTTCCACAATTGAGAATCTCCCACCACCAACAAATGTGAAGGGAATTCGAAGTTTTCTTGGCCATGCGGGATTTTACCCGCGATTCATTAAAGATTTCTCTAAGATCGCCAAGCCACTTTGCAACTTATTGGAAAAGGATGTGGCATTTCTTTTTGATGACTCTTGCCTCACAGCCTTCAGTATGCTTAAGGTAAAGCTCATAGCGGCCCCCATCCTAATCGTCCTAGATTGGAGTGAACCCTTTGAGATTATGTGCGACGCTAGTGACTATATTGGAGCCGTACTTGGCCAACGGAAGGAAAAAGTTTTTCGGGCAATCTACTATTCAAGCCGCACTCTCAATGAGGCCCAAGAGAATTACATAACAATTGAGAAAGAGATGTTGGCAGTGGTATACTCATGCGACAAGTTCCGGCCTTACATCATTGGGTCCAAGGTTATTGTATTTACGGATCATGCGGCCATCCGGTACTTGTTCGAGAAGAAAGATGCGAAACCCCGATTGATTAGATGGGTTTTATTGCTACAAGAGTTCGATTTGGAGGTCCGGGACAAGCGAGGCGTTGAAAATGTGGTAGCCGACCATCTATCTCGCGTTGAAGGAGTTGTTGAAGAACAAGGAGCTTCGTCCATTCTAGAGTCGTTCCCAGATGAGTAATTGTTTGCAGTTTAGGTAAAACTCCCGTGGTATGCTGATCTTGTCAATTATCTTACATGTAAAGCTTTGCCACCGGGTTTAACCTCTCAACAAAAGAAGAAGTTCATGCATGATGTGAAGCACTACATTTGGGATGATCCCATTCTTTTCAAATGATGCGCCGATTAAGTCATTCAGAGGTGTGTGCCGAAAAAGGAAACACCGGATATCTTGTTTCATTGCCATTCATCTCCCGTCGGTGGGCATTTTGGAGTTGCACGGATCGCCGCTAAGGTTTTAGAGAGTGGGTTCTATTGGCCTACTCTGCATCGGGATTATCATGAATTTGTTAAGAATTGTGACCGGTGCCAACGTGTAGGCAACATTTCGAGGCGACATGAGCGACCCCTCACCAATATATTAGAGGTTGAGATATTTGACGTGTGGGGGATCGACTTCATGGGACCATTCCCGCCTTCATTTGGTAATCTCTATATCTTTTTGGCAGTTGACTATGTGACTAAATAGGTTGAAGCTATTGCAACTCCCACAAATGATGCTCGTGTGGTTGTCAAGTTTATTCAAAAGAACATTTTCTCACATTTTGGCACACCTAGAGCTATACTTAGTGATGAGGGCACTCACTTCGCCAACAAGGTGTTTGATGCGCTCATGGCCAAGTACGGAGTCCGGCACAAGATGGCCCTTTCTTACCATCCTCAATCAAATGGCCAAGTAGAAATTTCCAACCGGGAGATCAAGCTTATCTTAGAGAAGACCGTGCAATCAAATTGGAAGGATTGGTCAAACAAGCTTGACGACTCTCTATGGGCATATAAGACGGCGTTCAAGCATGTAGGACAGCGTTCAAGACACCTATCGGCATGTCTCCGTACCGGTTGGTGTTTGGGAAGGCGTGTCATCTACCATTCGAGCTTGAACACCGGGCGCATTGGGCCATTAAGAAGCTCAACTTTGATTTGAAGGCCTCGGGAGAGAATAGACTTCTTCAACTCATTGAATTGGAGGAGATTCGTAATGAGGCGTATGAGAATGCGAGGATTTACAAGGAGTGCACAAAGCAATGGCATGACAAGAGGATCCTCCGCCGCGACTTCATTCCAGGAGAGAAGGTACTTTTATTCAACTCTCGCCTTAAACTTTTTCTCGGAAAACTCAAATCACGATGGTCCGGTCCATTCACGGTTATGAAAGTCTTTCCATTCGGCGCTGTTGAGATACAAAGAGGAGATGAACCTGCCTTCAAAGTGAACGGACAACGCCTTAAACACTATTTCGGAGGCGAGGTGGAAAAGATTGCGAGTCTCAAGCTCGTCGAGGACATTTGAAACATGAGGTACTATGTCTAGCTAAGGACTTTAAACGTAGTGCTTCATGGGAGGCAACCCACATATGATGTTTCTTTAATTATGCGTCCAATGGAGCTCTTTGTTCGAAAAAAATTTTTTTTTTTGAAGAAGCAAAACAGAGCGAGAGGCGATACGTCGCCTAAATAAAAAAAAAAGAGAGATTGGGACAGAGTGAGAGGCAATACGTCGCCTGAAATCAGGCGACATATCGCCTAAAGAAAAAAAAAGAGATTGGGACAGAGCGAGAGGCGATACGTCGCCTGAAATCAGGCGACATATTGCCTGATGGATTTCAAACCCCCCCCCCCCGGTCTCTCTTTCTTCACTCCCCTTTTCTCTCACTTTCACAAATTCCCCTTCTTCATCTCTCTTTCTCCTCTCCCCCCCCCCCCCCCCCCGGTCTCTCTTTCTTCACTCCCCTTTTCTCTCACTTTCACAAATTCCCCTTCTTCATCTCATC